TTTTTTCTGTCGAAGCTTCGTTACAAGAAGCAGCCTCCGCGCGCTGATTCAACTCCCAGACAACGTTAATCAAGACCCGGACGTTAGGCCCGCGTGATCAGACGGTTCTGGCGTCTGCGGACCATCCCAGCTGTTTTTGGAGCGCGTTAAAATGAGTTTGGCTTCTGTTTTCGTCAGGACAAGAAAATTGGTTTGCCTAATCTGCCATCAAGGGGAAACACGACCCACACATTTGACATTCTGGTCTGAACGGGGGTAAAGTGCACCACTCCTGAGAGCAATTTCCTCATTTGAGCTCCGAGTCAATAAGGTCAAACACAGGACATTAATCACCCGCATGTAAAAAAAAAAAGAAAAGAAAAAGAAAAGAAAATCTCCGTGTCTCAGTACAAAGAGAATTGGCTCTCGGCTCGACCTATAAGCGTAAACCTAGATTTCCAGCCTACAGCTCATTAAATCTGAATTGAATTTCTTTTCAGTCGCCTGTGTTGCAGATCTGTATTCACCTCGGGTGATAAACCTCTTCTGGCTACCAATTAAGGGAAAACATTTACATGCAGAGCCCAATTTAAATGCACTGCTATCAGAGCAGACATGCTCAATCACCTGCAAGTCTATCTCATTCATCATGCTCTTACTTACAGCTGCAATCTCTCTTTATATTGATCCTGCAGCACGTGCACCGACCTGTTTTTCCTCTTGTGTTGGAGGACATTGCGCCCGACTTGAACAGCACCTTGAGTTGCTGTTTGGCTGTGCTGGTGTGAAACTGTCATGCAGGGAAGAGACTCTGAAAACACCCCTTGTTAGACATCAGAGGTGAATGATTTCAGCCTTGAGCGTATCGGGGGTCTCTACGGTAACGATGCCGCCATTGATTCTACAGGTATCATTGTTGGATCCACCCTTCAGATGTCGGCTGCCTGCTGGGCATTGGAGGTGAACACTGGCATGATCTGCTGTCTGCCAGTTTGTTTACTGGGGAAAAAGTCCTCGGGTCAAAGAGAATGAGACTCAGAGAGGAAGACTTTGAAGGGTCCGTTCATCCAAAATTCAGCCGCTATTCTCACCTCAGCCTTTTGGTTTTTTAACGCAAACATTTGAGATTTCAGTCGAGTTGAAAGACTTGCTGCTATATCTACACTACAGAGAAGAAACAAAGGACATTTATCCACATGAAGACTGGAAACACAGTCCAATTAAAAGTCTGGATATCAATGTTACTAAAACTGAACTGAGTTAAACTTATTTAACCATTTTAACACATATATTAATCTAAAAATAGTGACACCATAGATTGTATATACTATGACCAATTTGGCTCCGCCTTTTGTCATAATAAAAATTTGAAGCCGAATGGATCTCCGTATTTGAGGGATTTTATCTACTTCCTGGTAGTGTCTTACGTATTTTGTGGGAGAGTCAGGAACTGACAGTAACTACATGTCAACATCACAACCAGGAGAAAGACATTTATATTCTGTGTAATAAATTCCTAAAGTTTGTCCATAGCTCCATAGGGATTGCTGGAGGGGGTGGGATTTATGACCTATACTGCAGCCTGTCACCAGAGGGTGCTGTTCTCACGTTGGCTTCACCCAGTGAGGAGACAGACAGTGTCCATTCTATATACAGTCTATGAGTGACACTGAAAAAGCTTGTAAAATACAACTCCCAGCATGCTTGGCTAATTTGCAGCAAGTTAGTTACATGACTGGGTCTGCAGAGGGCGCTCCAAAGACGATACATGAACAAATAGTTAAACAATTCAGGGCTCCTACACAATTGGAATTTTCATACTTTTCCATACCCTACTTTTTAGAAATACCAACTTTTTTATTTTAGAAAACAGTATTTTTTTTTCTGTGGTAATAATCTGGAAACATAAATATTTGCCATACTTTATTTTTCATTTTCTGGAAATTGATCAAATTACTTCCATACTTTTCCAAACTTGCAAAGGAACCCTGAAAGTTGCACAAAATTTCATTAGCTAAGGTCCCTCAAAGGATCTCAAAGAGGACTACGCTGAAAACGAATACTAGACAGTCCTGATTCCTCAGACCAGACACCACAGCACGGGTTCAAGATCATTAAAAAGCACTAAAAATACAGTATCCACAGATTCTGGTATCATGCAAAGAGGAAACCATAAATAAAAGGATGAGCTTCTACCTCTGCTGTTCCTCCTACACTATCAGCATGCAGTTAAAAAAAGCCAGCATATTTCTGCAAGGCCACATTCTGCATGTTTCACAACAGCATGGCTCTGTAGTAGAGGAGTCCAGGCAGGACCTCATGGAGTGTGTGTCACCCACAAACACACTTATAATCAGGAGTAGTTTGAAGAATCCGACATGAACATCATAAAAACAACCAACAATAATCCAGAGCTGAGACTCTAATTCTGTTTCTCATTAAACCACGCTCAAAGAGGACAAACTACATAACGAGATCACATCTCAGATTACTCTCAAAGAAGCCAAGAATACTCGGCTCATAAACGGTACATACGTTTCATCTTTTCGTAACATCATAATGAGAATCCGACACCGATGCTTCAAGCAGATTCTTCGTCAGCCTTTTAAGGTCAACATGTTATAAGGTTTTATGTAAATGTGTCGACTCCTTTCTTCTATCTGCGGTACGGTAACAGTTTCCATCTTGTTAGCATTTACAGATCCTCTGAAAAACACAACACAATAACCTCAGTCATCATCTCTTAACAATAAATCCCAGCCTCCAGGATTCTTCGCAGCTAATTGAAAGAACCGTGAAAGGAGTGAATCAGCGCTCCTTTTTTTTTGACGGGAATCAGATTTAATGAGCTGTTTGTACTCTATACATCTCATGCAGACTCAGATAATACATGATGATTTCATGCATCATGAATAAAAAAAAAGAGAGTGTTAGGGAATTATCTGATATGCTCTTTTCAGAAACATCCTTCCCGAAACACTTGGAGGGTGTTCAGCATCAGGATTAGACCCAGACAGATGCTATTCAAGTAAATCAGCAGTGAAGCGACGCAGCTGTTGTTACATGCAAATTGCAATTTCCATTTAAAAAATCAGGTGCTTTTTTTGTCTGCTCTGTAGTAGAAGTGCTTCAACTTTCTAAAGTTTATTAAGGAAGTTCTCAGATCTCTTTCACTGCAGAGTCTGACATGGGCAAATATGAGGCTTTCTGATAATCCTGCCAATTTAAACTTGGAGAGGAACAGCAAGAAGAAGAGAGAGAACGAGGAGAGTGAGGCCTCTTTACTGTTTTATTACTTAGTTTCACTTTGAAGGAACCCTCAGATCGCCTCAACTGATCCCAGTTTTACTGCGGCCTGCCACCCAGGGAATCTTTAAATCAGGTAATATGTCAGCCCCATGAAAGGTTCGCTGCACCTGGCTTTACTGTAAAGTAGGCAATGAAGCTGTAAAAGGCCAAGCGATGAACTGGATGCTCTCTTGCACAGCCGGGCTCCAGACCAAGGATAAAGCCAGCATTTTACCTTTTCTCTCTCTCTCTCTCTGGAGGGTGGGGGCTGCGGCGGGATCTTAGCGACGGGTCAGGACGGTTCAAGCCTGGACGAAGCCAGTGCATTAAAGGAACTGATGAGACTTTGATTCATCGGAATTTAAAGGCGATGAATAAAACATTGGGTATAATCCTCGGATCCACTTGTTAGAAAGATCTTAACAAGTGAATATATGCAAGACAGAGGAGGCCGAGCAGCGGACTCTAAAGAGAGAGATGAGAAATGTTTGTATTGTCAACATGTTTGTCGGCCGGACATGACCACAGGTGCACCATTAAAATCTGACAGAGCGAGGCTCATTTTCAGGAGGAAACTTCAACCAAGTTTTCAGGGACAGTGACAGGAGTGGCTTCGTCTTCTGCTCTGAGACGGAGGGTAAATATCCACCAGGAAAGCCAGACACAATTAGATGTGACCATCTGCGGGCGGCCTGCACTCCCCTCACATCCAGATTGGTGACAAATGTCAGCAGCAAATACGCAGGACTTTCTGGCGTCAGGACAGATGCTGAGCTTTTCTTAGTGTCCATATGGAAAAAAATCCACCCGCCTTCCAGTTTCACATTAGAGACACTGAGCTCATCTTTGAATTTCAATATATATATAAAAAGATTTCCTCTCAAAAATAAGATTAAAATCCTTTGAAATGGAAATTGACGTTAACTAGGATGTTTTTTTTCTTCTCAGCATCAGATCATGATAAAGTGGATTATCTCCTGTCACTGTAATCTCATAACACACAGCTCCTAACACCATCTGGCCTTGGTCAGCTATCTATGTAATTATCTTTCTCTGCATCTCTATCTATCAGTCTGTCAATCTACATCTATCTGTCTATCTCTCTTAGTTAAAAATTCCTCTGAACTGCTGAAACACGATCAGCTGTATTTCTCATCCTTCTTTTCTTGTCAGGGGTTCAAATACACGCCTCATTCAGGGTTCCCAAACCCTCATTTCCTACCTTCAGTTGTAGTCACTCCAGACCGGTCTGGACTCCTTCCTGTCTGTTGGTGGGTTGTGGTGGATCAGCTTCACATCATTGTTTCAACATGACACTACCAGGACATGTCACGCTAGCTTGATTTCCAATTGGCCTCATGACTTCTCAGGTGAGCAGCATTCAAAAGGCCTTCCTTCCTCTTCTTCTTCTTCTAGTGTTAAAGGTTGTTGGTGCAACTACCTTCAGATGCTTCACTGCCACCTGCTGGACCGGAGTGTGGAGCAGCAAAATGACCGAAAAAACCCTCAGAGGGCCGACTCATGAAACTAGCTGTTTGCTCACCTCGAGTTTGTTACCATGTCTGTGTTGCTTCATTCTAGATATTTTGCATCTATAATCCTCGTTATTTTGCTTTAAAGCTTCTGTAAGGAACTTTTTGGGTTTGTGTCAACTCTGGCGCCCTATGTGGACAAAGCAGTCTTTGTTTATCTTGTCCTCTACATAAAAGAGTATTGTCTCCTGACAAAAATCTCTTGAAATCACATTTAGTCTTTAGTTTTTAAATGAAAAATTTAGAAAATTGGCTTTTTCTTCTGCACCTTTATTGACACCTACCCCCTCACAGCAATTTCAGGCATCTGTAATCATGATATAAACACCATCAGTCCTGTCTTCTGATGAATCCTTGGCCAACATGTCCATCTTCTCATGTCTGAACCACCATCAGTGTTTAGCCCAACTCAAATACGACATTTTGCACACGTATGTCTCCATAAATTTGATGACATGATCTTTCCTGGTGGGCGTCCATGGAGTGAAGTTTTGGTCACCGCCGCAGAAGTGTTCAGTCATCCACCTGGTCCGATACTGGCTCTGAAAGGAATGGTTAGCTGGGGGATTATCGAGCTTGATGGAGGTCTGCTTCGAGCTGACTGCTTTTTTTTACCTGACCTTTAAATCTCCCCACATCGCACTTAGATTATCCTCAGATTTACAAATCTATCCCATTATATTTTGTCACACTCTGGGTCTGGAGAAAAGAAGCTCGGATCTCCAAATTGAATCAGCGCCTTCGCCAGTTTGCAAGGATTTGGCTGAACTCCAAGATGTGTACAAACAAGGCGGCATATGTGACTTTTACCTCGTCAAAGGATTTAGTGCAAATCCGGTTTAAACTTGATTTCTCTGAGTGGCATGAAACACAACACCGATATTTGTAGTTAGACAGGTGGTTCAGTAAAGGCCGAGTGTGTTTTGGTTTACCAGGGTCACCTTTGGATTCAGCCTTTTTCTCATAACCATCCAAGGTCTCTTCTGTCGGAGCAAACTTCTCTAATAAAGACACAAACCATGCATAATGCACTCAGCGACTCCTCTCAGAATCACATTCTGCAAATGTTCTGCAGTGGAAAAACACGAGTTCAGATCCACAAGGGGTGGAAAGTTTAATCAACAGAATTTGTCTTTTTCTCTCTTTAACTTTTCTCTTAAATGTGTCTCACTAATGAGTCCTCTCAGCAGGGCACTTTAACTTTAATTTCTTATGGGGGGAGGGCTCACACTACATCAAATTAGCCGGCATGTCAGGAGAAGTTCCCCTCTAAAAGTACACCATCTGCTATCACACTCGCTGGGAAATTACACTGAAAAAAAAGCACAATATGTTGTGATTCTGCAAACAGTGGATCTTTAGCTTGTACCTCTGAAGGCGGTACATATTTACCGACTCTTTCCGACCTCTCACCTCACCTCCAGTGTATCCTCCTGCATTAACTCAGGTTTAAATCATTTCATAACATTAAACTTTTGTAACAACAACAGCTGACATGACAAAAGTGCTTTTGGCAATACATGATAAACAAACTTCTCCTGAATGTGGCGCCTCAGCGATGCAGAATATGTGATGTTTGTTCTGACAGAGGTGCTGGAGGAGAGGTCAGAAGGTTAGATCATGGAGGATTGTTTCCCTGTGAGAGACTGAGCGCAGCAGAAAACTTTCTCTGGTTCACTCGTTACATGACTACAGATCTGTGTAAAAGAGGCTGAAGACCGACCACTCACTTCCTGTAATAGCACAGAAAATTGTACTTTCTTAACTGGTCAATTTATTCATTATTTCACCAAAAACAAGTTTATTCACAAAGAAGTAGAAAAATTCACCACCAACAAAAACAAAAACAGAATTGACCATTTGAGGGCTTAAAAAATACGATTTTTGACCCATTTCTTGTAAAAAAAAATAAGGTTGAATTAAAATATTTTTACAGTCACATTGGGGATATTTTATAATAATTATTCTACTAAATTCTACAAAATGGGTTTTCATTATTTAAGTTAGACATTATAAGACAAAACAGGGAACATTTAATTTTATTTTTTGTTGCTTTGTTGAAAGAACAAACAGAAGAAACGTTTTTTTAAAATACATAAGCAGACATCTAACACTTATATGTCCCTCTGTGTTTTTTTCTCTCAGGTAAATGTCCAGCAGTCTTACCTGTGGTGGTTCTGTTCATACATCCATTCAGTGAGTACTGAAAACAAACTGGTCGGTCAGTCTGCTCCCATTTCACAGCATTAACTTCTTCATGAGATAACTCATTGTCAGCTATTTCATCCGCAGAAAGGCAACGCTCACCTCCCAAAAGCCGTGCTGTTTAGTAAAGAATACATACGAATTCGAGGCCAAATTGCTCTCCGTATTTCCGGGATTTTATCCACTTCCTGGAACCGGCGCTTGCGCAGTAGCGTTGTACGCATTTGGCGGGAGAGTCGACGTGATGACGTTCGCCTCAAACGGCGCGTAGATTAATATATAAACACTAGACCGACGTCCGCGCATGGCGGCCATTTTGCTTCAGGCAACTAGCCAACTGATAACAGTACAGTCTATGGTGCATGTAGCATTCAAATAACCATAGATTCATGAATTTTAAACTGATTTTTGAACGGTTTTGTTTGTAACAAACCTCAGAGTTTAAGTTATGTAGGCTATATCAAGTTTCAATCAGAGCACAAACCAGTCTTAATACATGTCAACATTGCAAGCAGGGCTGAGAATGGACGGTGTCCGTTTTATATACAGTCTATGGTATAAAGAGGATCTGTAATTAGAGAGTGAGCTGGTCACTGTGCGTGGTTTTTTTTATTCAACATGAACTTTTGACCGAATGAGTGTTTTTACTGTCCGGCCACTTCTGTGAAAACAAAGGAGAACTGGTCTGAGGATGAAACATAAACTGTTGGGACCAAACAGATCCTGTGACCAAACAATAAAACCAAAGTTGTCTGATTATTTTCAGCCTGACAGGTGACGCAGAACAAAACTGATATGAACTGTAGCTGCCTGACAGTACGGCTGGTTTTTAGAGGTCAAATGACGACTTTAATTATGACTTTGATGATTCCTGTGCCTCCATTCAACGCTGGCTGTTGACTCTCTCTGCAAAGCTGCTCCTTTAATCCTTCTGTTCACAGTCTTCAGCACAACATGGCAAACTTCCCTGATTCCCATTCTCTGCCATCCCTGACAGCGCCGAGAGGGACCGTCAGGCCTCAAAATCCAAACATCACACAAACCTCCAAAAGCAAACACAAAATTAGCCAGCTGTGTCAAAAGTCCCAACAGTTTGATTTTAAACATACAGCAAAGGTCCGGAGTAACCGAGCGGATATCTCACTCCACAGGAAGAGAAATCTAGAAGGCTTCACATCATCACACAGGAGATTTTAATTCTGCCATAACAGTAATAAGTAGACATACAATAGGAGGAAATTATGGTTTAAGAACCCTTAATTAAAGTGTATTCAGAAAAATTGCACCCAAAATTGAATTAAGCAGAGCTGCAATTATGGTTTTTAATTCAGTGGAAGCTGCTGAAAGAGATAATGAACACATACACACACGGCCACATTCATTATTACTCAGATCAACCTCAATTTCTGAGAACATTTCCATCCGTTCTTCTTCTGGAAGACGACATCGTCTCCACATCTGAAGCTGTGAGGTTTTCCCACGCAGACGGCTGTGACGTAACATCTCTGTGAATGAAACTCCACAGGATCAGATAGCTAAACAAAAAAACACCACAGAGTGCAGAACACAGACGCACTGTTACTGTGTGATATTAAAGTTTACCTCATCCTCCTCCTCCTCCTCCTCCTCTTCCTCCTGCAGCAGCAGCAGCAGCATCTGTTCGAGGGCTCTACGCTTCCAGCAATTTCAGGATGAGTGTTAAACTGTGACCCGACTGAAAAGCAAAGTCACAGCTCAGCTCTCCATCACTGAAAAAGCACTCTGACGACACCGCTGAGACAATTTAATACTTGACTTTGCAAGTTTTAGACGGCTAAAGGAAATATATGGACGGAGGTATAAGTAGTATGAACTAATGCTCGCTGGTATATTAGAGTTGGAGGGTTTTTTTCTCTTCGCTGCAGATGAGTCAGTACACTTTAGGATTCATGTGCATACAATGTCCTCTGCATAAAACTGCTGCTGAGGAAAAATGAACTCTAAATATCTCTAATGGAATATCACAGGCTGTATATAAAGAAGTGCACACGCATCCCTGCAGCTGAAGTATCCTTGCAGCAAGGCTGTTGAACGCCTCGGCTTCAGGGTCGCTGATAGATTATATAAATGCAGGTGCAGGAAATAAGATTCTTCAATTGAATAGTCCGGATTAATGCTGATCAGAAAATTCAAACTGTATCAATCGAACATTTTCATACTCACGCACAGAAAACAGGAAATCATATTTCTCTAGAGCGCGTCGTTAAAAGTGTTCGCTGAAACAAACTGTGATTTTCCATTATCGCTGAGATCTTCCTCAGAAACATCCTGTTAAAATAAAAGTACAGTATTCCCCAGCACACTCTCACATGCTAAAACACACCCTCACACACACACACACACTGACATTAACCCAGAGGGAGTTCATGCTTTAATTGCTGACACTATAGCTTCTGGCTCTCTGAACCAAATGGGTCCCCTTGCAGGATACATAATCCATTATCATAAATCAGAAGCGCCAACACAGACAGGTGCTGCATGAATAATTAAAGGTCGGTACATTAGCACTTGTGTGGAGGTATGTGTTTGAGCCGACGTCATTGAACAGGCTAAAAGCACCACAAAAACCCTCCATCCACATTAAACAGCTTAATGCTTTGCACTACACACAGAAATGATGAGCAAGTCGGAGAGAGAGAGAGAGAGAGAGAGAGAGAGAGAGAGGAGGGCAGCCCACCCATCCTCCCCCTTCGCGTGGAACCAAAACACAGAGAGGCCTGACAGGAGAGGAGAGGAGGATCCCAGGGATAGGCACCGCTCCGAGCTGGGTTTGTCCTCTGCGTGGCTGTGTGGTCCAATCTCTCGAGCTTGAGCTGGTACCCTTGTCTGAACCTGAGCGGGCGGGCGGGCGAGCCAGGTTACTCTGAATGTGTAATGGAGAGTCCAGGGAGCTGCAGGCAGAGCAGGCAAAAGGTCTGCTCCAGCAAGTGGGCTCCACGACTACAGATCTCCATTCGAACATTAATTACACTTGAGGCAAATTCATTTGGATTCTCGCCCAGTAAGAGATAAGCTTTTCCTCTGAAGGAGGCGAGAGAGAGAGAGAGAGAGAGAGGAAGGAGAGATACTCCTGATGCTGACCTGTTTGACTCTGCAGGGGCTTCTTTAATCACACAAACCTTTTCTGGCCTCTAACACCACCAATGTGGAATTCAATCATCCAGACTGAGGGTAAAAGAGGAGGGAGAGCTTCTCAAAATCCTGGAACGTCAGACAGACGGACAGAATCCTGACAACAGCAGGACTCCAGGTGGTGAAACATGAAGTTTGGAAACTGACAGACACACATTTGACATCGTGATGGTGTATTTGGTGGATCTAAGATGGAGGGCATCACTCACTCTTTGTGGAGGAAAATCCTGTGACTTCATAAAATCTGACTTTTGTGATCGATCATAAATGATTTCACTCAAATAGTCTGAAATCAAATCAGGAGGAACACTGTCCGTTTTGGTCTCTTACCTCTGTAGAGTGACACAAATTTAATATATTTGGATCCTGGACTGTTGGTAAAAACAAAAACTGTTATAAAAGTCACGATCAGATGTTTTTTATTTACCTCACTGACATGTTTTGGCGTGTTGGCAGCAGTCTTCCTCAGAGTGTCACGTGATGATTGTGTGACGCGTCTTAAAACAGTTAAACTGCTGTTTAGCACGCCGAAACATGTCAGCAAGGTAAATAATAAAAACCTGTGTCTGTTTAAAAGAACGTCTGATCGTAATTTATCGAAAAAGACACGATGAACCTGATCCAAGAATGTTAAAAAAAGTCGTCTCTTTCCTACATTGGAATATTAGGGCCACATTAAGAAAAAAGAGACTTCGTAATTATTGACGAGAATAAAGTTGTAATAAATTTATTTACTCTCCAGAATTGGGTCATAATAAAATAATTACTTACAAGAATAAAGTCATAATAAAATAATTACTTATGAGAATGTAAGTAATGATTTTATTACGACTTGATATATCTAATGTAAAGCACTTCGAGGGTCTCTGATAAAGCGCTATATGAAATCTGATGCATTATTATTACTTATCATTAAATGCTCCATAGCGCTTATTTAAACAACTAACGACAGGTTAGAATAGCTATTAGCTACGACTTTATTCTCATGAGTAATGACTTTACTACGACTTTATTCTCGTGGCCCTAATACTCTGTTTTACTTTCCACTTTGGGAATCATTAAAAAGATAAAATGAGAAAACTGACAGACTGATTAAAAAGCACATGTTCGTATTTGCGTCCCTGTTATGATCATTTTCCTCTTTCAGTCAGAAATTACAAACACAAAGCATTTAAAAAATATACATCACATTTATTTGTACTGATACCAAGAGTCCTTACAGAGTCGTCTTTGTCTATTGATGTGTTTGAGCACTACAGGTGAGCACACCTGCTTCCTACTGCCATACATCCAACAGTCAACAAACCGGATCACCAAGCGTTGCTTTACCACTACCAAAAAACAGAGAGTTGGACAGAGCACACCACTGTGTTTGTTCTCTAAAGGTAACACAATGTACAAAAAAGCAAGTTTGGAAATAGCAAGATTCTTGTTTCCATATAAAACATGTTTCTCCTCAATGTGTGAATAAGAAAACAATGCACTTATCTCTACTGAGCTTCTGCTGCATTGCTTGTTAGGCGGCCAAGGGGTAAATTGATGCAGATAAGTAATGAAAAGAAACAGGCCGGCTTATCCCTGTATTACTACCACAGCAGCTTTTGAGGAATTGTTCACGCTCTGCAGAGCCGCAGAGCTGCAGCAGCCGCCGCCGCCTCGTGGTTAGACGCCAGTCAATGAGGGCAACACATGATGTTAGAGTGAATGATTAAACCAATCTTTCCACACAATGTACACTACAGTACAACACTACCGTCATGTCGGAAAGAACTGTGCAAATCAAAAGTCCAGGGCCCCGAAAAAGAAACAGGAACGAAAAAAAGGATGACCTCTGAAGAGCGCCGGACCCCCTTTGGCAGACCCTGGCCCCTCAGGATGGGTTAAGGCCTAAGCAATCAGGCAGTCAGAGGGAACGAGGGAGCAGGAGACTGGTGGCTCCCTCCGTGACGATGAGGATGGCACAGTGGCCTCACCAGGAAGCTGAAGGCACCAGGAGAACCAGCAGCAGCGCTGACCACGTTAGGCTCTGCGGTGGAGGGCAGTGGACCGAGCACTGGCTGCTTTTGGCTCGAACACCTAAAACGAGGAGGAGAGAGAGAGAGAAAGTGAATCCCAGACGTGCTTTCATGACTCCATCCATCCTTTGAATGAATTATACTCGCCATGTTTTTTAATAGGGGAGAGGAGGAGGACTTAAAAATGGACAGTAATCCTTCGCCCTGAAATCCTGGCTGTCCACATCACACACACAAGACTGTTAACTTCGCCTCTTCCTGTTGCTCAGAAGTTAATTGGCTGAGCAGGAGAAGGAAGGCTGGTGTGGGCGATGTAATTAAAACAGTATTAGCCAAAGAAAACTTGGCCGGCACAACAGCTGCGGCGACTCAATTAAGGGGCAGGACGTAAGATTAGAACAAAGAGAAATGAGGCTGAGCGCGGGGATGGGGATTCAGAGGGAGGGTGACGCAGCGAGAGGGACCGACTTACCAGAGGAGGTGACCAGTCGGACCTGGGAGCTGACTGCTCCCTCGCCGCCTTCACTGAGAGCCCGCACCTCGATGGTGTAGGTGCCGCCCTCTGGCAGTGAGAGCACGGTGGAAGGGTTGATGGTTCTGGTCACCTGGTTGTGACCTCTGCCCTCTTGTTTGAGTAACACCTGCGGGATACAGAGTTCAAACAAACACATTCAGAGTTTAACAGGAGCTGGTTTGAGTTACTTCTGGGTCATTATTGGAGAAACTGAGAATATATTTGTTTTGTTTTATCTTCTCTCTGATGTTCAGGCTGACGTATGGATCTAAAGCACGTCGTTTTAAAGAGATATTCCAGCGTAAAATTAAGTTCAGGTCAAACACACTGTAACACCGAGTTAGACACCATCTTGAGAGAGGAATGTTGCCGACCGCTTGCTTCTCTAGTTATACCAACTTTAGTAACGACCACAGGATAGCAATACACAGCAGTCTGAGGAGCCATAAACAAACCTCAACCAAAACACCACTCTATAGCCACAAATAATGCTCAGAACAGCACCTAACTTCATCAACAGGACATAGAGGGTCATAGACATAGTACTAGACACCAAACATCTTTTTAACTTTGACTCATTTCTTTAGCAAAGAGACTAAACACAACTCACCTACTCTCTTCCAGCAGCCGCTTGTCTGTAACGAGACCTCAGGCTGGTCCATTACGGACTACAGCGGAGTTTCGCAGCTCAAGGAAGAACATTTATGATCATTTCTTTATCATTTCCTTGAAGTAATAATCATCATATTAATCATTTTGAACTCCAGACGCGGTAGTTCTTCTGTCTTAGCGTCTTGGTCTGATTGTATTTCCATGAAGAAATGATCATAAATGTTCTTCCTTGAGCTGCGAAACTCCGCTGTAGTCCGTAATGGACCGGCCTGAGGTCTCGTTACAGACAAGCGGCTGCTGGAAGAGAGTAGGTGAGTTGTGTTTAGTCTCTTTACTAAAGAAAT